GATTTTTTCGGGAAAATGGAAAAAGTGATAGGAAGTAGGGTGGAAAGTGATAGGTAGCATGGGGAGGGGGAGTCGTATTTGAGGATGGAACTAGGGGAGGGGTCGTATTCCACAGGAAATGATCACAACGCGATTTCATGCCCTGGCTGTGACGCGGTTGCTAAATTTTAGTGCCACCTATGTGAGAGTTTTCACGTTTTGGACAGCCACAACTTTCTTCATATCTGATCTTGTAAAACCAAAAACATCGCGAGTTGAGAGGACTTCCACTTTCCGAAGAGCACCTTATTTTTTTCTCAGACTCGCTACTGAAAAAGTGCCCGCTATGTTTTGTTGTGAGAGTTTTGGGGGACATGACAAAAAGTGCCTTCCAGTTCGGAAGGCTTAAAATTATCAGGAAATAGTTCATTCGACGTCGACTGGCCTCTTTATTGCGCTGGCGCTAGACTCCCACGAAGAGGTGTGGGAAAGGTGTAATTCTAGATAAGGCTTCTCCGTGCAAGCAGATGTAATCCTACGGTTAAGAAAGGTCCGCGTATACTGTATTTCGTTTGCTTACTAATTCATGACGCTGTTGTAGGCGGCCACGTACTTCCCAGTAAGGCTCTTTAAGGCTCTTTCCCCACCTGTGAGCTTCAAATACAACCCGTGCTGTGAGTCACACATCCCACAAAGGTTTTCCCTTTAGTTCACCACCATAGTGAAACCTAATAATTAAATTAATTATGGGGATGGAGTCTCAGCCGCTGCGCTGATCGATCCCTTCTTTGGGATGTGGATCGCATTCTACTTCTACTCAGGATCCTACTGGCTTGTTGAATGCGATGTAACCTATGCAACCCGCAGATGAGTAGTGTGGAGGGGTGCTGTCAGTCAATTGATGACAGGTTCGTCTGGGTTTTATCTCTCCAGACGGATCCATCATCACTTTTCCGTCCCCGGATGTTAGAAGGCTTGGTTGGCCCCGCGACAGAAGATCTCTGATTTGGTCCCTCAGTCTCGCGCTTGATAAGCACACCACTTCCCACTTCGCAGCCTCCGCCACAGTAATCGGATAGGGCCCTCTAAGGTCATAATTTGGTTGAGTAAAATGAAGTTGTTATTATTGGGTACTCGTCCTCAAGGACTATATCTGATGGGAGGACTCCTTCTTGGGACCATGCACGACACGGAACTACTTGGTGTTTCCGTCGGGGTGTTCGCCAATAATCGCAAAAGACAGCCATAAGGGTTATTATTTGGGGTGTACACCACACGCAGAAATCACACCCGACCTCGTCATGTTAGTGGTTTTGGTGACCCATCCAGTGTCCCTGCCGGAGGCGTTTATGGCCTCGATGTGGTAGATGCGTCGTAGGGTGTGACTTTGCTTCCGAGCAACGCTAGGCGTCTACTATCTCTTTTTCTGTGTGTGATGTCAACTAGCTAGGGACTGCTCCGCGTCTCTGCCGCTACGCTGCAGTTTGGATTCAAGGCTGCGTTCATACTCCGCGGCTGAGGAGGTTCAGCAGTTGAGAGACTCGTCGATTTGAGAGACTGCGCGACAAGGAAAGTACACATTGTGGTCACGCAATTGCGACGATTGAGCGATCCGGCGATTTGGGGGCCTCGGCCTTTCCGGCAGTTGTGCGCCAAAGATGGAGTGGGTATCGGTCGGCTCCGGTCGCTAGCGATTTGGCGATTTAGCGTAGCGATTTGCGATCCGGCGAAACACTTGATCGCCGAACCCCTCATATCGCAGGATTGCTCAATCTGCGCATTCGGCAGACCGATACTTACACTTTTCTCGTCATGCAATAATCTGCCAATTTGTCGGATTTCCTAAGTCGTAAAGTATGAACGCATCCCAGCCCTTCACACCCGTTGCCCGTTGCCAGGTGGAATTGGGACCACCCTAATTCTTCCACTTTTTTCTAGTGCTCTACTTTTTTCATCCTATTCTGTCTCCTCTATCTATCTTTCCGTCTATTCAACCCTCTGTCCAGCTTTACCCCATCGTTTCAGCATTTCGCTAATCGCTTTTCTGACGGATTCAAATCCTATTTGGGTTCGTTATGGATGCGCTGCTCGTCGACTCGACTTTACTACTTTGAAATTGGCTGTGACTTTCTGTTGTGCGATAAATGTGCTCCGTCACCTTCTTATCGCTAGCCACAAGAGAGTCGTCTCGAAGAATAATTACCCTCATAAAAAGTGCATAGGTGACAAAAAAGCTGCGCGTAGATGCAATTTATCTATGACATCCCTTCTGAAACGCAAATGTCCAAGTGATTCACAACACTTTACTGACTTCAGTTCCACATGCTATTGCATTCAAAAATCCAATTTTTTGCCGCATTCAAATATAATAATTCACTTTGGTTGACTAATACTAGTATGCATTTCATATCTCTGGCTTATGCTTTTCATTTCTCTGGCTATCTTCGGACCTGGGAAGTTGTAGCTGTAGAAGGAAGTTGAAGCTGTAGAGCTCGAAGCTTGGTTGAACTCTTTATTGTTGTGCTTTGATGCTTTGACGCTGGGTACGCTGGGTTAATGTAGCAGCTGCCCAATCAAGGAATTAACAAGTATTACTAGATAGGAGGTCCCGGTAGCAGTAGCATCAGATAATTGGGCCAATTCCACTGTTGCTAGAGAGATCCCTTCAGGTCGACGAGGCGAGGAGAATCCCGTTTACGTTTGCAAATTGTTCACGATTGCCGTGCCAGTGTAAACGTCCGTGCCAGGAAGAATACGGAATGACGAAAGCCTACGATTTCTTCGTAATGGGCTTGCAGCGATACTATGGAAGCAGCATAAATTTTGTCCGTAGAATACATGTAGGTTGTCCTATCTGATCACCGAAGAGGGAGGAAGGAGGAGGGGGGTCGTATTTGGTCAAGCAAAATTTTTTGATTGCTGATTTTCCGTTTCAGTCGTGATGTATAACTCTTTCTGTTTCCGATACTTCTGGTAGTTATCGGGAGCGTTTCTGTATCCCGTCCTCCGCTTGATGGGTTCTGAGGAAAGGGGTCATCGTAACGTTATTGACGATTTTTCCAAAATACGACCCCCCTATCCAAGTTTCCCCTTCGGCACGACCCTTTTCCCAACCTACCTCCCTACTTCCAAATATTCATACCGAGTGTTGCCTTAATTTTGGCGGGGAGCAGCGGTACATAGCGCGTTAAACGAGAAAAATTAGCCATTGCAAAAGTTTCATTTGGGGCGGAATATGACCCCCTTTCGCTGGCCGGATACGACCCCTTGTTGAAGTTTCACGACCAGGACACGTCATACTTCGGGGATCCCCAGCAAGCGGGAGGGGGGTTCGTAATTGTCCTCGTGAAAAATGTTCTCGGTTGTTGACTTTTCTCGGTTCTTCACATTCCACGGGCGTTATACACCCCCACGCCCCCACCCGCGAGACAGGTTTTTGGGCAAAAAATTTGGGAAATCTGGGAGGTGCGAAGAATTCAGTTAGAACTAGTAAGATAGTTGGTAGGATGGGGAAAGAGGGTAGAGCGGGGTCGTACGAAGAGGGGGGGGACTTGTGAGAGCGGTTGTATTTTACATAATTTTCCCTGAACGGTATGTCGTACTCTGTTCCTACGATGATATGCCCTGTCAGGGGTCGTATGGGAGAGTAACTGGGTCCAGTCGAGGACCACACCCCCATGTTGCTCCCGTTTGAAGGTACCCTAAAAACCGTTAACATTATCAGGGTTCGTCGTGTGAAACGCATAGGGGGATTGTACTTCTTCTCTGGAGATGGGGTCGTATTTGGGGAAAGAGAAATGGGGGGGGGCTCGTATGTGGCTTTGACAGAAATTTACCGCATTGGGTTTCCGGTTGTTGACTATTTGCGTAATTTTTCCTGTTTCATGTGCACTATAGCACTATATACCCCCCCCGCTCAACGGAAAATTTTTGGGTGAAAAACTGGAAAATGGGGGAAATTTGTAGGTAGGTGTTGGGGAAGGGAGGGGTCGTACCGAGACCCTCATTTAGGTGGGGGGGGGGTCGTACTGACACCCTCTCTCGGAGTGGGAGGTCGTACCTACACCACCACCTCACACATCACGATGCTGTACCCTGAACATTGTATCTGTCCCTTTACTACTTGGCTACTTTAGGTTGTCCCACGCTGATTTCGGCTTTGATCTACCGGGTCCGATCGTCGTGGTTTTCAGTTTGCCATCTTATAATTTATTGATTGTCGAACCTTTTTTGCTTACTATTTATTTTCCTTCTTGTATCACATTGTTAACGTATGAGCCAGCTGGATTTTATACAGTTTACATTGAGCTTGTATGGCGTAATAATATCAAAATAAATAAGTAAACAAACGAGCAAATTTTCGTGCCCAGATGTAAGAAAGCCCATTCATTGGTCGTTCGCAGCTAAACGCTTTTTCTCATTGGAAACGCTGTTGTAAATTAAGCAATTCGTGCCTCGTCGGCATTTGCAAAGACCAAATTGTGCCAGCATCTGAGCGGCGTATGTGTGAGGGTTCATCTCTGTGTCTGTGTGGGTGGTCTGTGTCCTCTTTTGATGAATTGATTAGCCTCACCAAGCGGGGTGGGCGAAAAAGAAACGACGACGAAAAGCCAGATGACCCTCTCGGACCCCATCGGACGTCTCAGCTCGCTCGCCTAATCGTCAACTCGACCCTCTTCTGCCCTTTCAGTTCCTAAATTCTTTGTGTCTCGCCCTCCGTCTCTACTATTTGCCGCCGCGCCATTCGTTGCGATTTGCTTGGCTCGTTTTGTCGTCACCTTTTCACCCTCTAATATGGTCGATGTCAATGAAACCGGTTTCGTGTCATTTACTGCGTATTTTGGCGTGAAATTACGATCAATAATTTTCGTACTTTTACACGATTCTTATGCACGTGTTTTTTTCATTTCAGGCAAATGGGGTGTGACGCCAATGCGCTAGTTTATTACCGAACCTAATGAGCTATTTCCTCGTTCTTTTAGCGCTAAGTGGTAAGGATGGACGTCATTTCGATCGTATAGGATTGGAGCTAGGTAATTCCAACTGGGTCATCATTCTGTTTTAGCCATTTTACGTAGTCGTTGTGTCGACTTCGTTGCCCGAACACAACGAGGAATCGCTCTCATTTCACTAGATGAGGCCAATTTTGAGGCCGAATCAACGTTACTAGTACCATCCATACCAGAAGAATTGTCTGTATTACTCGCAGTTGACACTTCTGTAAGTCGTCCACCGCTTTTTTGCACCCTTTCAATTATCCCTTTTAACTTTTAACCCAGGGTACGTGCTATTTCACACTACGTAATCATCTCTACTCCCTAACCATCGATAACAGTACTACTAATGACCTCGGCAGGATCGGTTATGGTCTTGAAGAGACTCCGTCATCGATCGCTTTCGATTGGATCACCAAAAAGGTTCCGTGTGTACTGCAGTAACCTTCGCATTTTTTTTCTTCAATTTTGCCCTTAGCCAAGGACGAGACCCGAGCATTCTTTCATTAATCATTTTCATCGGTTTCTTTTCAGATTTTTATCTCACTATCTGGAGTTGGTCATGACAGTTCAGCCAAGGTCTACGCGTGTAGTTCCATAGATGCAACGAATTGTACTATAATAATACATGAGAATCTGGATTACTTACACTCACTATGTTTGGATCCATTGGAAGGGTGAGGGATTTTTTTGCATTTTCCAATTTTATAATTTTTGGCTGTATATCATATACAGTTTGAAAGTCAGCCTTTTTACGTGGGTAAACGGCCGCTGCTACTTTGCCCTTTTCATTGCGTTCATAGTTTGCGACGGGAGGATGGGAGCATCGGCGAAGCAGCGTTTTAGGAGAAAGCGCGCCGAAGGAAAGCTTAGTTATCGATCCGGCGCTTGCGAAGAGAAAGAATCGGCCATCGACGTTCGGAGAACGCAGGCTCCCGCAAAACATCGATTTGTCCACTTTCCCGTCGCGAAGTATGAACGCAGTCTGGAAGATCACCCTAAGGAACTTCGAATGGTGGTCTGGGTATACCTATACGCGTGAAATGCTGCTTACAGAGAGGGAAAGGAGAAAGGGAATGGGGAAATGTTTTCCTGGTACGCGCGCTATATAGGCCTTTTTTCCTATTTCTGGTGCGTTTGTATGCCTGCCCACCTCCCCATCAGTTGGGCGCGATAAGAGTACTATTACTGGTTGTTGATGTATGGAAATGTCTTACCCAATCCCCCCTCCCCCCTTCCCCGCTCGACGGCAAAATTTTGCTGAACTTTGGTGAGATGGTGAATAAGTTGTGGGAGTGGGTCGTAACGACGATTGAAATTATGGGGAGAGGGGGGGGGGTACTGACAATGCAATTTCTCCCGTCCCAATGACGTACCCTGCTCAGTGAACACGAATATCATGTCTGTTTGGCGAGAAAATGTCTAGCGCCCACGTTGCAGACGCCCAAGGGACAATTCCCGCGAATCTGCCATATTTGACCGCTTACAACTCGCTTTTGCTTCCTTTGACTCCAGGTATCTAACTCTACGTCCATACAACAAGCATAAAAACCTCTAGCAGTAAGTTTAGGTCTCGATTCAGCGCTCTAAAAGACTTGGGACCTTTTTCAAAACAAAATTTGGTATTTTAGTAATTTTAGTATCGTTTTACATCACTCTAAATTAATCTGTCGGTTGAAAAACGTCATTCAGTGTGTTCATGTGTTATATTCCACTGGTGCTAGTCTGACGTACCGCGCTACTTTGAAGAGTCTAGGTATCGGGGGGGGGGGGCATTTCAGTGGTGAAGTCCTATTGGTTTCGGCGGGAGGGGGCATTTCAGTAGTGCAGCAAGGTCTTGTAAAGCCATTTAATGTTTCGAGTTTCATTTTCACGTCGTCTTTTCAATTTTCTTAAATCTGAGCGGTATTCAGTGGGTGGTGTGAAGGAAGAATTTTGAGCTAGGTATGCGGATTTTCTCTAACCTAGAGTTCCTCAGGTACCCCAGGAGGGTAAGTTAGGTGTTTTCCTAGTTCATTCGGGGTTCCGGTACTTCGTGAGTCTCTCCACTTCGGAGTTTTCATGACTTTTCAGTTCGACCTTACTAGGGCAGACGATCTTAAACCCTGACTCCTCTTTTTTCTTCCGTGCTCCAATCCTACTGTTACCTTTTACAGGAATATGTATTGGTTAAATGGTATTACGAATTGTATAGAAAAGTCATTTATGAATGGTCAACACCATGATAAACATCCTTACAGTGTAAGTGGGTACTGTTTTGTAGGTCAAACTATGTACCAATTACATGTTGAGTTTCAGGAACAAACTGTAAGCTCATCGAAAGATGTGACATACTCATCGTTGACATTGGATCTTTCATCAAGGCGAATCTACTTCGTCAAAACTCAGAGAAAATCATCTGAGATTTGGTACTGTGAGTTGTATCGTCGCGAATCATGTGTTCAACTATTTGATACGGATCCTATCCAGTTTTTCACTGTATATAAGGTAAGTTTTCCTTTTTTGAGCGGTTTACCACTAGATCTACAGTCTTGTTCGCTGCTAATGCTGGGGCGTGTCACTGGGGCTGCATTTGACGCGCCGCCAGCCCAATTTTCGCCAAGTGTTTTTGCATGAACCCGTTCAGCAATTGGTGGGTACAGGCTGGCGCTGCGACAATCCCAGGCCCCCTGACACTTCGCCCCACCCGTAGCGAACGAGACTCTAGATCAGTGTTTTTTTTAAACTTCTTTCATTAAAATGTTAGCTGAATTTGATAGTCAACTTCCAGTCGTACTTCGTTTGGTCAACCTCTTACCATGGTGAATTGATTGTATGCGAAAAAACCGATTGTGCAAATACTTACAAAACCATTGAAGATATTCGTGGTGTAGAATCACTTGTCGTTCTAGATCCTTCAATTCAGCCAAACAGTAAGTTCAATTTCTAACTTCATTATTGTAAATGTTGTTTTTCTTGTCCCTCTATGCGTAACTTCACTATGTGACGTATAGCCTCGTGCGTTCATGCTTTGTATCAGTAATTTGAGCGGCAGCGTTTTGGGCGACTAGGAAAGTATTGGTATTGATTTAGCAACGCCAGGGTACGGGGACGTTTCGAGCGTGTGCCAGCGAGAGCGACTGGGAAAGTATAGATATCGATCTAGCGATTTGAGTCAGTGTTCTTAGCATTTCGCAAATAGTTTGAGCTTTTTTTAGGGCAGCCGCTGAAAACGCTGGCGTACGATTAAAATGTTGGATCAATATCTTTAGTTTGGTCGCTCAAAACGTTGCAGTACGCTCAGAACGCTGACGCAAAGTATGAATGCAGCCTAACTATTGATCGCAAAGATGCGCAGACTGTGCGGCGTACGCTCGGTATCTCCAAAGGAATGTCGCTGAGAATGCTTTTATACTTAGCGTCAGCATTTTGAGCAGCCAGGAACGTATGGATGTCGATCCAGAGTTTGGAGCGTTTCAGCGACCGCTGGCTGAAGATACTAGTGGAAGCTTAGGAGGAAGGTAGCGTTGAGACTTCGCGACGACAGCGCTTCGGTCGCGCGTTCGACGCGATCGATGCAGTCGAAAGCATGCGCATCGATCGCGTTGAATGCGCGACCGAAGAGCTGCCGTCGCGAAGTGTGAACGCAGCCTAACATCCATCGCCATTGAGAAAATGTTTTTTTTTCAAACGGCAGTCGCGCTGTCGTCATCGTGTAGGTTCACCTCCATTTTCGAACATTGCTGTATGAAATCACTTTTCCAGGAACGAATCCAAACCCTTGTGCCCTAAATAATGGCGGATGTTCACATTTCTGTTTGTTGTTGAACTTTCATCCATGGTCACAATGCTCTTGCCCAGTTGGAATCAAGTTGCTGGATGATGAAAAAACCTGCGATCCACGTGGAATTGACAAGGTTCTCATTATCAGTTAGACGGGTGTAGTGCAGGACATCCGAGACGCACATCGCGTGCAAGCTTGCAAATCATTTTTGAGCTAGTTGACACACTGAAGCATTGCCACGTTGAATCGATTGGATCCCAGTGCGACCGCGCACGTGGCTTCATTTGCAACATGCTCTTTCCCTTATCGTGCTGGGCTTCATCCTTTTTTAATCTTACATCGGACTATATGAAACGATATCATATGGTATTCCGACGTTTTCGTTTTCAGATCCTATTTATTTCTGCCGTCAGTGGAATATATCACATTTCTCTCGATACTCCTGACTTTACTCCTAAGCAGATTTTGTTCGAAGTAGGTGCTCTTTAACCATAATATGATCTACCAATGTGATCTTCAAGAAATTTTTATGTTTAGGGTCTTAATAACGACGGATTTTCGCATAAATTCTATGATATCGACTTTGATCCCATCGAAAGGAAGATTTATTGGATCGATGCTAGTGTGGGGCAGATACGCAGGTGTTCCGGTAATGGATCTTCAGCTGAGGTGATTAATTGAGCCTTTTGTTGTTTTTTGTCACAAGTACCTTTTTTATTTTTATCGCATATCCACTTAGGATGTGCTGTCGATTCCCAACTCTGTGAGGGTATTCCGAATTGATTATCTCGCCAGAAATATCTACTGGATAGATGCAAATCTGAATCGCCTTTATGTAAGCCAACAGATTTACGTAATTTTTTTTATTGTGCTGTTTTGGTATCATTCAACCATTATAGTAGAAAAAAGTAGAAATATTCTCGCTGTGAAGCTGCGTTCATACTTAGCGACTGGAGCCATGCCGCCGCGCGACTACGCCTGTCCACGCTCCACCGTTAAACGCTGAAGTGCTGCAAGTGGTGATTTAATCACCGTCAGTGTGAATCATATTTCGTACGTTGCAGCGGTGATTGATTAGTGGCGGAGTGCGGTCTGCCGCGCGACTGAATCGCTCAAGCCGCGGAGCATGAACGCGGTCTTACACTGCGCTCCTCCTGTTCATATAAGATCCCACCTTTCCGACGCGATAGTTCAGAAGAACCTGTTTTCAGCTGGTCTAGCCACACAAACAGACTTGATCCCTCTACAGTTTTTTTTCAGAGTTTTTTTCTCACTTCCTACTTCAGTGATGTATGTAGTGGTTCGATTTGTATCAAACTGTATTGCGAACATTATTCAGGTGACAAAACTGGGCACTACTCATACAAGGGTCATCGTTGCACGAGGAGTTCTGAAGCTTCATACAATGGCGTTGGATCTCAAAAATCGACACATCTACTTCAGTAGTAAGAATGTTCTCATGTTACGGGAAGGTACACAGAAGCGCTGCTGTTTAGCCACAGTCGTTTCCGCTACAGACGCTAGGGCGTGTCTGAGGTTTTATCCGTTCTCCACTAATTGCTGAAGCGGTCAAATGACGATACTCGCTGGAGAGTGGGTGACGTGGTGCCAAACCCAGGCTTTTTGAAGCACGCGCCTGCGTCTGCAGCGATAACGACTACACATTAGGATCGATTTATATTACGTATCGCAGATTAATCACAAAAAAAAATAAGCGTTCTTACAGATGGCCGTGGTGAGCAAAGTCATATTGATAGATGCGATCTTGACGGAAGCAACCGAACAAGAGTAGTACGTTTTATGCGGTCCATATTCTCTTCTGGTCTCGATCATTCTCAAACAGAAGCAAACGCAGTTGAGGTGTACCACGCAGTAGCGCGGCTAGGGCACATCGTTGTTGGGGATTCCCCAAAAGGGAGTCGTTTTTGAGCTGAGAAAATTTTTTCGATACTTGGCTTCTCTTGTTCCAGGGACGGTCTGAGGTGGGGGGGGGGGGAATTCGTATTAGCTTGTTGTTGGGAAGGGCTTCGTATTAGTGGCCTCCTGGTGGGAGAGGTAGCCGACTTAGTGACTTTTCGTGGTTTTTCCTGTTTCATGTGTAGTATATACCCTCCTCCCCCCAAGACAACCAAATTTTTGAGTAAAAATAGAAAAAGTTTCCGGAAAAAGTGGTAAGAATTTGGAAAAATCTGGGAAAGTGGTGGGTATGATGAAGGGGGAAGGGGAGGTCGTATTCAGAGGGGGGAGTCTTACCAACCCTCTAACCTCTAAAAAAAGGGGGAGGAGAGGGGAGTCGTATGGACTCGACCAAAATTCGCAACCATTGGTGTGCCCTGAGCGCGACTGTTGCTCATCTGCGAGGCTACGTCACAGCGACTATGTTGGTCAGCGCTCTGGTAGGCCTGACCATTGGTTAGAGGGAGGAAGATGGTCGTGGCGTCGCGTAGCCTCCCTTAACTACGTTCGCACCTGTAAATTGTTGCTGCTCAGGATTTTACCCGCATATAGTGTAAGTTACATATCAGCTGTAGGTATGGCACAGCGCCAACACGTTTTCCACCACTTGTTGTCGCCTTTCCTTTTTCAACAGTTGTAGAAGACCGCACCAAAGTCCCTACCCCACTCCTAACACATCCCAGCATCCGCAGTGAACAATGCTATACCTTACCATTGCAGTCCCTAAGTAACTATTTAAATTTTGTTGATCCCTTGAAAAATAATAGGTCTTATGTTATTAAGGTCACTCTTGCGCCTTATGCGTGGCCTAATGGTATTGCTGTTGATGCGGACAATTATCACTTGTACTGGACAGAAGGGAACTATTCTGTTGTAAGGGTCAGTTCTCGGATTTAATCGCATTATTACATATTTATTTTCGTTCCTGTCTGCTATGTAGTTCACTTCTTCTTTCTAGACAGCCTTTCTGAATGGAACTGAACAAGTGGTTATTGGACCAGCTTCTCTGAAGTTACCTCAGCCATATGCAATATCAACCTTAGGTGTGTGGTTTTTGCGGAATATTATACTTCACACCCCTGAGATGCGGCAGGCGTGGCCGCGTACTCCATTGGAGCGCAGCGGCTTTGTCGAGATATTTTCATTTTGGGATAGTGATGATCATGCCTTTGTCCAGAACAAAGCGAGATGGGCAATGTATCGAATTGAAATACCCCTCGAATAACTTATACGAGGCTGATTTCAAATAAAGTACTCTAAGTCACGCTCGAATAATGTATGGAGCCACACCTACCGCGTCTCTGGGTTGTGGAATGTATGTCAGTTCGGTGCTATGGGATATGAGAGGACGCAGTTGCTCTACTGACTGCTTGTCAGCGCTTCTTTACTCGTAAGGCAGCATTCATAAATCACGATCTCCGTTTATTGCCGCGCTATCACCGGCGTCGTCAACTATAAATGCCGTTTGGAAGTACGGCGTACGGCTATCGAAGTGCTGGTGTCGTTCCTCGCATGAATTGCTCACGCCCACAGTTGACCAAAACGTGCCGCTCTCCCAGTAGAAACGAAACGAGCTATTAATGACGAGGGAGCAGAGGGCTTCCGACTCTCATGCTTGGGCTCACGCTTGCCGTTTGCCGAGTTCTGACACTCATGAAATTTCGCGCCCTCTCTGTTGAATATTGTACGGAAATTGACGACCAACTAATGGGTGGGGATTTACTGGCTTCTCCCTGCTGTTTTCTTCGCAGGCGTGCTATATTGCGCCTTGTGGTCTAAATAATGACGTGCAGCAGTTGTATGTCTCTTCTCCTTAGGCATTGTTCACAGTTTGTGGCCCAGCGTTTCTCTAGAAAGAAAAGCTTCGGCGAAAAGCTTCGACTGGCGATTGGGCGAAAGGGTTTTGATAGGAACGACGAGCGTTTCGCCAAACCGCGACGTTTTTCGCCTTCGACGAAACGCTAGCTCGATCGCCCTGGCGTTTTTCGCCAGCGAAATCGATACGCATCTATTGCTTTTCGCCCAACCGCCGAACCGCGGCGGTTCGGCGAAACTAGCGGTTGGCGATTCTCCGATCAATCCGTATTTTTTGCTTTTCGCCCAACCGCCGTTTCGTCAGGGTCGCAGACTGTGAACAATGCCTTAGAGCGCGTTCAGACTTCGCGATCGCGCGATCCAAGCGATCCGATCGCGCGATCCAAGCGATCCGATCGCGCGATCGCGAAGTCTGAACGCGCTCTTATCAAGAGTCATTCTTAGCAGTGTGCAAACTATCAAGGTCTCCTCGTGGTCTCGCAGAGCCGACATAATATAGAGACGATTAGAGCGGCAGCGGCTGCTCCCCCATTCCATTCAGACTCCCTTACCATTCGCACCGCTACTTCCTTGCTGTTTGATTGAAGTGTTCCATTACAGGTCAAGAACTGTTTTGCAATTCTCTAGCCGGTCGAGCACTCATGCGCATTTCGACGACTGAAGGAACAGGTGGGAATGGTTTTTCCCAACTCCCTTTCTTGTTTTTATCTCCTCACGAATATTTTCTTTTAAGGGGCACTAACGGCTAATGTCATCGAGTCGTCGATTTATGGTCCGATTGGATTAGTCGCGGTTTCTTTGCACTCGACAATTTCGAACGTCAGCAGTTGCGCGCTGTCAAAGTGCATGCATCTTTGTATCGTCAGGTAACTCTTACTCTTCACTTACTTTTCATTCTATAAGGCGTCATTATTTTCCTGACATTGTACGAGAGACAGTGGTGTCATAAGTCCTTTATTGCCAATTGACGAGGGCCAATAATTTTCGCAAAGAGCATTAATCTGCATGGGATTCAACGCTGGGTTATCTTTGAGGAAGTTTAGTCTTGGCACTGAGATAATTCGCGATCATTTTTGGGGCAAATCTATGCTTCATGCCGAATCATGTTCTGACAGGTCGTTGTCTTCGTCTTGTGGAAGCCTTCAAGTTTGTTCAGACCCACATTCTTATTGTATGATTGATTTTTTTTGCACGGAATGTGAACAGCACTACAAACCGGGTAAGGAGCATTACTTCCGAGTGCCGCGCACTATGAGAGCACTTGCTAGCTAGTTGACTAGATAGATACACATGCAGAGAAAGCTAATTGACTTGAGAGACGTGGACGACTCGACGCACCGCAACGCTGCCAGGTTGAGTGGAGTGGGTCCTGGCCTGAATGCTGCGTGCTCGACTGCAGTGCCTATTTAGCCGCGCCCCGCAACTTGGAAGTGATGCTCCATATCCCTACGAAGTTATTTCGGGCATAGTCTTCATGAGGGGGTGCAGACTAGCAGATGTGGCGTTGTCGCGGCGCCTGGGACATACCACGTTACCATTCTCCGGTAGTTTACGGAGCCGGAGAGTCCTACTCTTCTCTGATTTACGGAGATTCTACAGAACACTGGAATTTCTTCAGGGTGAAGCCTTGCAACGGTCGCTTCAATGCTTTTGTGTGGCGATTATTTAGCACCTTTCCTCAATGTTTTAATAGTCGAAAGCGAGTCTCTAGGGTGCGCTCGTTTACAGCACTTCTTACTCATCTCATCAATACGCTAAGCTTTGTTGGAATAATCTGCGGGAACCTTGGGTTCTAATGGCAGTATGAGCGCGGTAGCGCTCAAAAAGTCATACAACATCACAAATTTTCAGTGCTGAAGGTGTGCCAAAGTGTCTGTGTTCAATGGGATACGAACTGATGAGTGATGAACGTACGTGTCGGAAGCCTTCATCCTACTTTGTTATCCTTCAGGAAGACATAACCGATATTTCGAGAGCGTCGCTAGAGAAGTGAGGCCTTCACTCACTGTCCCACGTTCTTGTGAAAAATATTATCTCTAATTTTTAGGCCAATCAATTTCGACTCGCTAGATATACTGAACATCACTGAACCACCAACGACTGCCGATATTGATCAGGTGAGTACCTTGGAATTGTACGATAGCCTGGATAACCTAGATTACTTACCTTTTCAGAGAGGAAATTATATCGTCTTTGGGTATTCCTCTTCGAGAACGGGATTCATCAAGCGAGCTTCCTTCACTGGTGCCGTTCCGGAAACAGTCATCAACGATCCCACTCTTATAGGGATGCATTCACTTTCTGTGGATTGGATCTCGAGAAATATCTATTGGTAAATGTTTTTCCTCAGTAACAAACCTGGAGCCTCCGCTGGAGATCATTGCTTCTTGGGATGCGACACGCATTCTACTTCACTTCAGAACCGCAAAGGCCTTCTCATACAATAACTTGTGGTGGCCAGTCGATGCACAAGTCAGTGTTTCCCGGACGGGTTCGGTATCACTTGACCGTCCCCGTAAAGTGGAATGCTCTGGGGGGGGGGGGGAGGGGCGGCTCTAGGAAGGAGCCGATTCAGGGCTTGACCTCCGCATCCCACGCGTAGAAAGCGGCACCACGCACCTCCGACAAAGAATTGACCCCAGGCGAGATTCGAACCCGCACTCAAAGACAAATTGTGCACTCCACCAGCGAGGGCGGGTTCTTGGGGCGCATGGCCACTTATTGTTCGCGAAAAGTTGGAATGTGAAAGGTCAGTCAGGTCATAGAGCCTTCAAACGTGAAAGTGCAGAGAAAAATAGAAAGTTAACGTCATCAAAGGGATTGAGTTTTAGTTGTTCACAGACCATGTACGGGGTGTAGTAGTGGAGTGGAGGTGGTATAGTTACAACAAGCGCCGCTACCACTCACGCAGTCCTGGGTTAGGTCGACTCCCCCAGGCCAGGCAAGCCTTCTATCCTCCGGGCTTGGTAAATTGGTACCAGATTCGTCTAGCAGGATAAAAACACTGATGGGCATATCGGCTGGTTCTGGACGAAAGTGGTGCAGTGGCGTGTGGCTCATTTACCACGCGTACGGTACTCTCCGGAGACGATTGGTACTACATTTTCCTGGGAAGATAAGAACACTGACTTGTACATCGGCTGGCCCGCAAGTCATTGTATAGGCCACATCGCATTCAATAAGCCACTACGATTCTGAATGGAAGTAGAATGCGTGCCGCATCCCACAAAGGGATTGATCAACGGCGAAGACTTTACCCTTTCATCCATTATGTACGGACAAGTGTAAGCAGCCTTTTTTCGCTGCTGATTTTCGTTCTTCTCAATGTAAATCGTTTAGGTCCAATCCCTCCCGAGGCCGAATTGAAGTTTGTGATCATAGCGGGAAATATCGAAGGACCCTGGCATCGCGTTCCATCAAACCAACCTCATTGACTGTTCACCCTCTGGCTGGAGCTGTCTTTTTCGTCAATGAACTAGCAAACGTCACTATAAGGGTAAGGTTGACGTTCTTTTGGTTGATTTAAATTTTTGTATCACACCTTTAAACACAAAATTTACACAACTTTTCAGCGAATGCCTCTCAATGGTGACAGTACTGGTGGTCAGGACATCGTGGGAGATCTGACATCTGTTCGTTCTCTCGCAATAGATTTTCGAAAGGACTTACTCTACTGGACCGAATTCGATGACTTTACAACTCGTATCTCTGTTTCTAAATTAAATGGTGAGTTATTATGATTGCATTCCGTTATGGTCCAGGAGTTACAGTCAGGGCACGCCATCGTTGCGATGATCACAGGGGGAGGGCTAATATTTAAGAGGGGGAGGTCGTATTTTTCCGATAGTTGAAAATGATAGTTAAATCCTGACGACCCCCCCCCCCTCCCCCGCTCGACGGAAAATTCTTGGCTGAAAAACTGGAAATTTTTCGGGAAAAAATGGAAAAAGTGGTAGGAAGTTGGGAAAATCTAGGAAAGTGGTAGGTAGCATGGGGAGGGGGAGGGGTCGTATTTGAGGATGGAATTAGGGGGGGGTCGTATTTTTCAGGAAATGATCACAACGCGATGGCGTGCCCTTTCTACAGTCGGCGAGTAATTGTAATATTTTCCTAGACAACTTGTTGTCGAAGTAAAATACTTATTATATTTAACTGCGAATATCAATTACAAACGCTTTAGCGCGCCGCGCTGAGCTCCTTCTCAAGATGGTAAGATCTTCGGATCAGAAACTGAATCGCGCCATCCTCGGCGATTGCGCAATCGCCAATTGCGAAACCCACCACTCCATTCGCCTTGTTGAGGGCGGAAGAACACTGAGCCTGGCAACCGAAAAAAGCGAACCTTCATTTTTAATATCGGCAACAACAGGTAACAGGTGATAACAGAAACATAGCAGGAGATCAAGGAAACATCTTCTTCTTCTTTACTTTTTTGAAGAGTGCGACTTCCTTCGTTTCTGTTCTTTCTCCTTCTTGCGTTTCTCTTCCATATCATCTCTCCTATCTGTGCTCCTCTTGGATTTCCTGAAATATCGAGGTGATATCTTTGACAGGAGAAGATTGGGAAGGGAAGCTAACTAACAGGGTGGGAGTGTAATTGATATTCGCAGTTAAATATAATAAATATTTTACTTCAACAACAAGTTGTCTAGGAAATATACATTATATTACACTGCTCATTAAGTTACAACGCTTTTTCAACACACCTGTTCGAAGAGAGCACCGTGTCCTGGAACGATTGCTCCAGCGGACCTTTGTAATAAAACTTCTCAAAGGTGGTACCATTTGGTGCCCAATTCGCTGCTTCCATAATTGCCTTTGAAGAGAGACCCTGCCTCTTTGAAAAGGTTGTGCTTGCTGCCCTAGTTGAGTGCGCTTTAAATCGGTCATCTATGCCAGAGTTTTTCAGCACTTCTCGGAGCCAACGAGCTATCGTGGTGGATGTTACACTTTTGTGAGGACGGTTAACGCTCATGAATAAAGTCCGTACTTGGTTACGATATAAGATAGTGCGATTTATATAGTCTTTTATCGTCGCCAACGGACATAGGAGGATGTCGTCTTTATAGGCTTGCACGACCGCTGTGTGTGCTTTGCCGAATCCTCTATTGGTCTGCTTCGTATGCAAGATCTCCAATTGAGTACACTAGGCCACAACTCAAGCTTTCTCCCACAGCGGTGACTGAGACCGGATCAGAACGATAATGCTGCTAATCGGAATAGAAAACGTCTTTTGGGAGCCGAGGCAGGGCCTAGGGAAACAGTCAGCTTACCCAGTTTGTTATAGAAGCTTAGCTGTTTGCGGTTACTAAAAAAGCGTATGAGCAGCTGTGTTGCACGAATAGCCCCAGTAAGAGAATTAGCTCAGATAATATAAATCAGTTTTAGCTGCTATATATCACCATCCCCATGATATCATCCGAGTCGTATCTGGTCGTGAGAGATCGGGAGGCGCTAGCTCCGTAAAATAGAAACCCTTTCGATGACACTCTCAGGCTTTACAATGATCCTATCTCCATCCTACAGAAACACCCATTGCATGAGCGCGAAAAGGTATAATCCGAACGATTATGGCCGACTTATGGGTGCTGATCGATGAGAAGCTTGCGCCTGATTCGAACAGCTGGCCCAGAAAATTCAAAATATCTTCGACCCTAGGGTGCAACCTGTCTATACCAGTATTCTTGCAGAAGGCTGCCCACTTTTTCAAGGCGCTATTATACTGTTTTATTGTAGCGCGTGACCAGTTTGACATAATGGATTGCACGACCACCTCTTTCAGCCCCCACCTCTCCAGAATTCGCCTAAATGATGCATGCTATCAAATGGAAGGAGGGAGATTTGAGGCATGGGTGAGGAGACCCGCTGGTATCTGTCAAAAGGTTCCGGTCTGATATCAACGGCGTGATCTCTTTGCCGTGCTCCATTACTAGTGGCCACCAACTTTGATTTTTCCACATGGGGCACACCAGAATCAAGCGTGCCTTCTCTTTCAGGGCTTTTCTGATTGTCTTCCCTACTAGATTGAATGGCGGAAAGGCGTAGCCGTAAGTCTCCGACCAGTCTTGAGCGAAAGCGTCTACGCCCGCTGCGCCCGGATCTGGAAAGAATGAGAAGTATTTCTGACATTTGTTGTTCCACCGGGAGGCGAAAAGGTCTATCTTAGGTACGCCCCACTTTGCAAACAGTAACATGGTTGTTTTACCATCAAGAGAATAATCGGAAGAGTCATTCGATCTCCTCGAAAGGAGGTCTGCTTCAACGTTCTGTACCCCTGGCTTGTATGAGGCCAGCAGTTTCAGGTGACGTTTCAAGGCCCATAGCCACAATAAGCGCGTTAGCTTGTTCAAACGTGCACTTCTGGTTCCTCCTTTCTTATTTATATACCAGACCGCTGTTGTGTTGTCCAGCTGCACGCGAATGGTGCAGTGGCGAAGCTTGTCTGCGAAACAGCGTAGGCCCAGTATACAAGCTGCTAACTCTCTCTCGTTTATGTGCCACTCTAGTTCTGAGGGTCTCCACTTCCCACTAGGTACTGGCCGTATGCCATATTGCACCCCATCCCATATTTGACGCGTCTGATGTAACAGTGAGTGACTCATCTTCATGAAGGATGGGCTCACGAGCTACCTTACCAAAATTCTGTGATAACCACGCCAAGTCGCGCGCGCAGCTTTCTGGTAGGGTGCCTAAAGTCTTATAGTCGCTCGCATTCTTCAGAGGGAAACTGCCTAGCCACATCTGAAGAGGTCGGAGAAATAGTACAGCAATACTTGCTGCCATGCTTACTGAGTTGACTTGTCCAATAAAGCTAGCGACTTCGCGAAGAGTGACTTTTCTCCGCTTCCGCATTTTTTTGGCAGCTTGACAAATGGTTGCTATCTTTTGATCTGGGACGGAGAGTTCAAAACTTAATGAATTGATAGTCATCCCGAGAAATTCCACTACTTGTGAAGGTTCAAGCTGTGATTTTTTCTCGTTTATGGTTAGACCTAGATTTTTGAGTAACATTGTGATTTGGCTGATCTTCGATGAGAGAGATTCCTTGTCTTCGTCTATGATCAACCAGTCGTCTAGGTAAACAATCAGTCTGATCCCCCGACTTCTGAGTTCAGAAGCAATAGCCCTCATTAGCCTGGTGAAAACGTAAGGTGCTGAGGATAACCCAGAAGACGGCAGCGCTTTGAACTGAAAGAGCCTCCCGCCATATTGGAAGGCTAAGTATTTCCGAAACTCTCTGTGAATAGGGACCGAAAAATATGCGTCTTTCAAGTCGATTTTTGCCATGTAATCGTGTTTCTCTAAGAGAACTTTTATCATTCCAATGGACTCAAGTTTGAAATGGTAGGTTTTGATATACCTATTGAGTGGCTTCAAGTTTATTATGGTTCTGTTTCCACCGTCCTTTTTTGGAATGACGAAAATTTTTGAGGTCCAAACTTCTGAGGACCAGGGAATCTCTTCAATGGCATTTTTGTCTAGCATTTCCTGCACTTCGACGCTTAGAAGGTCAGATTCGGAGTCAGTAGTGCATGCGGACTGCAAGGAGCATTGGGGGATTTGGTCACCGAACTCTAACTTGTAGCCTTGCACCGCTTCACGCACCCAGGGGTCTTTTGAAATACAAGCCCAGTTTTTTTGAAATAGAGCTAGCCTACCCGCTCGTGCTTCGGACTCCTCAAGGAGAGTGAGCTGTTTCTCGACCCTAATGATATGTTGATAAACTGACCTATCTTTCTTCGACGAATATGTCTTCATTTTCTTCGAGCTGCCATGCGTTCGTTGTCTGGCCTTTCGCCTCCTCACACAGTGTATCGTAGTTTCCTGCACTGAGACTTTTCCACGATCTCTGTTGTCAATTTCGGTCCCATGAGCGCTGGGCAGACTTCATTCCAGGGAAGATCCGCTGATCGAACTGGCTCTTCCACCGGAAAGCGATGGAAATTGTGAACCACCTTCAGCGGCTCAACTCCGAACGATCTGCAATGGCATGGCTTGATAATTGAATGAATTGAGGAGTAAACGTAGTAGAACCCACCTCAAAAATCTTTCTCTTCTTCTGGTTACATTTGCCTCAACTCCGAACGACAAAACTTCCATGGCTTGCTCTATGTAGAGATCTGAACGCTGAGAACGACCCGCACGATTTTCGCTACGCGCGATCGCCATGAGATTGAGGGCATTGAGCAGCACCTCAGCGTCGGCCCTCAGCGAGATCTCGTCGACTTGAATTCTGAACGAGCAAGTATAAGAAAGCGATTTCTGAAACCACTAGAATAAGGCTACATACCTGAAGGATTTCCTAGGAAGACCTTCATCTAGGACGGGTGGAGCTGCCAGACCGGACGCCACCAGCGGAAGGCGATCATAGAAACTGAGCCTGTCTTCTGTGCTTACGTAGACGCCCGCCGCGCACTTGTTGAATGATCCAGAAGCTTTTGATCGATGTTGACTCGTGTGCGCAGTTTTTTGTACTCCATGCGAGCTATTTCTGGAGCCTCCTTAAGGGCACCAGCGAAATCAATCTTTTTGGGGATCGGTCGCACGCATTCCAAGGGAGATTCTGGGTTGTATTTCTTTTTCAAAAGCTCTTCTCTCCCGCGGTGTAGCCCGTTGTCATCCGAATTTTCTTCCGAATAGGAGTATGCTGAGGCAGACTCTGACGATGAGGAAGAGACCGACGATTCCGATGAAGTGGACTCTCTTCTTCTCTTTTTGCTGCTCCTGACGTCTTTGTCCTCGCTAATATTCTCCTTCGAGTCCGAGAACACTGACTCCATAGGGCCGTCGAGAAGCTCCTTCTCCAGACGCGCGGAGCTCCGCTGTCGTCCATAGAGCACGACATCTGAAACAATAACAACTGAGACACCAGTATGAGAACGTTGGTCTCAATCAAGAGGTGCACGTTTGTGAAATTCATGATATGGTTACTATGCCCACATCACTGTTATCAGTCCCGGTTGCGGCGCTCTAGTGGCTTCCGCCGGTACTTCGGGCTAGCGTACTAATGACGCTGCCCTCATATTTCGGAAGTTCTAATGACTCCCAAAAAGACGACACCGCATCCGTTGACTGACAACAGTGCGGTGAGTCGAAATGGAGAATCAAAACAAAGGAGACAACCGTCTCCGGGGAGCTCAAGCAAGGCGAATGGAGTGGTGGGTTTCGCAATTGGCGATTGCGCAATCGCCGAGGATGGCGCGATTCAGTTTCTGATCCGAAGATCTTACCATCTTGAGAAGGAGCTCAGCGCGGCGCGCTAAAGCGTTGTAATTGCTATGAGCAGTGTAATATAAAAGGGGTGACCCGGCACATTCCCCCTCGCTTTCATACTCATGTCTCTGTCTTTTCCCTCGGCATCCTCTTAGTCACCTACTTGAATACACCCCTTTTTGTCATCAGAAATGGACTGTACCTTCGTTGTTTGAAACATTGTGGTGGTATGTGATTTAAATAAAATTTACTAATTTAGGTTTGTACCGAGAGCTGCTCTATGTAGGAACGGATCAAAGTCCATATCATTTATTTCACTTCAACCATAAGTTGTATTATTCGGACGTTAGACAGGATGCCATCGGGTTTTATAATGGCAGAGATCTGGTGACGCTTCACGAGAATGTACCAAATGTGACGGCTCTGTTAATTCATCATGGTCGTGCTACCAGTGGTGAGGTTTTGCTTGCTGTTTTTTATTTTTTGTTGTTTATCGACTCTGGGCACGATTGCCGGAGGCGGGCGGTTGTTGCCTGCCTCATTGGCGGAAGAGCTTCGAGAGGACGCTTGGTCACACTCTCCCGGCCCTTGCACCAATGACCTTCGCGACAACCGTCCGTCCGCCCTCAGCAATCTTGCCCACTGCCTTAAAGGCACAGTTCGCGACCGCAAATTGCGGGAAACGGAACTCAAATAGGCACAAAAAAGTGCTAAGTATCTGATTAGCGGAGAAAAGCAGCAGAAAAAGCAGTCCGAAATGTTATAGAGAAAGATAACATAGTGGCTACTAGCTAGTAGCTAGCAGCCGGTGAGGGTCGGCATGGGCCTAAGGGGTGTCCATGGGCCTAATTAGTCAGCTTCTAGCGGAGTTCTTGCCGTTTTTCACATTTTGAAAGTAGCGCAGCCTCAAAAATCGCCTTCCGGATCGTCCGACACATTTGAGAGGTCATAGCCTTATTTTATCGCGGAATGTGCCTTTAACTCTGTTGACGGGTTCACATGTTTCAGACTCAAATCCATGTACGTATGAGTTGTCCGATTGTCCGCAACTATGTCTGGCCACATCGCGTACTGAACGACTTTGTCTTTGTTCGGACCATTTTACTTTCGATCAGTACTCACTTCTTTGCAAAGGTATCATTTGACTTTGAAGTTTTCAAGGTTTGAGAACACAGTCATGGACATACGTACCGTATACCGGAAGTGGAGAGGGCGTGGCTGCATACTTCTTGTAAACATGCGTGGGATGTGTTGCTCATGTGATCTATTTTTCGGGGCAGTCGTCATCCTCTTTAATACTAGACAAGGATATGAACAGTAGTTCCGAAGCGTCGATATCCTACCAAAAGTAGAGAGAGCCGCACACACGTTCAAATGAAGCACGCTGATACGCCCTCCCCGTTTCCGGGGTATGGCATGTATTTTGCTTTTTTCAGCTCCCGATAACATCATTGTGGCCGGCAGTGAAGAAGGTTTTGTTGTGATGAACCTGCGGCGATTACCTGATCAATCTTTGTCCTATCTTGAGGTGTTTTTGCGGCTTAATTATCTATTTATTCACTCATTTATAAGATTGTTTCCCCTCTAGTAAAATTTCAAAGTTAGCCCTGCTCGGGATTCAGATCGCATAGCGCTTCGCAAGGGCGTGCGTATTCAAGGCGCATTTTGGAGGGATGGTCACAACTACTTGATATTTAATGTGTGGTTAATTTCTTCGAACTTTTCCATAAAAGTAAGACTACTCTTTTAAGGATCCGATGGTTCCTTTTATGCTGCCATCGGTTGGAGTTCCGTATTCCATAGCTATGGATACCTCGAGCAGGCTTATTTTTTGGATTGATGCCAAGGACTCATCAAGGATCAAGTACTCGCGGCTGACTTTTCCTGCCAAGGTACTTTTTTCCTTCCTTTTTGTAGAAAACAACGCCAGATAAGCCGACTAAACAGGCACCTGCTTATTACCTTGCAAATCTCTCCCTGTGGAGATCGAATGCTCTGCGATCGTCCTATCAGGAGTGCGGGGGCAGGACACTCGACTTAGCACAATGCCCAGAAAGAGACTCAGTTTATATCACGTCATAATCATCTTCGCTGTGGTCCCTATTTCTTCTGGCTCACACGTGACGCTACTCGCGACATCGCTGTCGCCGCGCTGCACCAGTGATTCTCTTGAGCCTCTTCGAATGATCTGCTTTTGCACCAACCTTTCCCTTTTAGCTGAGCATTGCAGTAATGCCCAGCTCCAGTGATAGATCTTTCTGTTGTGCGGGTGTGCGCTCCTTTGCTCGCGGTTGTCTGGCCTCTCTTTCAGGAGCCTAGTGTCTCCTCGCTTCCTCTCACAGCATACTCTTACAATATTGAGCACCAAGCGGGCCTTATTTGGATCATTTTCGACGTATTCTTTGGCTTCTTTCTTCACTGGTATATAAAAAAACTTGTTCCAGACTTCTATTTTCCCTGATCGTCACAACTGTTCCATATTCCATTCGTTGGCAATGGACGAGAATGGGCGTGCCCTTTACGCATCCTGCCATTCAAGGTCTGGTGTTGGCTATGTGTATGTCTTTAGGGTTAAGGTATGTGAATGAAAGCTCTCGATTTGTCCTTGAAACACTACTTCTTTTGTTTACAGGATAATCACGCCGTGCCGCTGGAGTTCATCGGTAAAGTAGTTTCGGGAACTGAGGTCTCTCTGGCTACCGGCCATGCTCCTGTGCCTCGAGATATCACTGTTCTACCTCAGTCTAAGTCAGTACGGTAAAGTAACGACTTAGCTTACTTAGTTTCTATTTCTAGTTTTTTTTTGAACTGTTTCTTGTGATTACAGCTACCTCTTTTACGTGGATGTTTCACCATTTCTACCGTCACCGGCTATTATTCAATGTCAACTTGACGGTCGCAAATGTGAAGCTTGGCTGTCAAAGGTATTTTCGTTTATTAACATTTTCAGCTTGTAGTACTATTTATACTTGTTATTTGCCGAAACATTCAGGATTTGTGGCCAGGTACAAGAATCTACGTTGATCCAGCATATTTGCGACTGTTCTATACGGTAGGTTCTATGTCTTGCATTTCCTGTGAACCGATTGCATTCTGACTTTGTGCTAAGGCGGCGTTCAGACTTCGCGATTACGTCCATCGACGCGCTACGACGCGCCGCCATTACAATAGCGCTCCAATGCGGATAAAGCAGCCATAGACGGGCATCAATCGACGCAAGCCGCTAGTGTTCTAAAGAATATGGGTGAGGAGGAGGGTACTCGTTTGAGTTTTGAAACTAGTGCAGCCGCTCCCACCCTCCCCCCCCCCAGCTCCGCGAAATTATGCTGTTTCTTTGATGAACAATGATAATGCTATAATTTTGAAGGTCTGAGAAGCCTTTTCTTGTAAACTTTCTTATTGAGGTGGCCATCAATAGTCATTGTCTCATTGTGTAAACCGCCTTGCGACCGCACGCTTCATGATCCTCTTCACACACAGTCTATTTCTTCACTCGAAAGAGATACTTTTAGTGCCCCAGTGGCATATGGTCACGTGACGTGGGCGTCGTCTCATCCAACGTTCGTCATCATTTTGTCTCATCGGTAGCCAATGACTACTCAGTTGCTCCACTTGATGAAACGGCAATGTTGGTTGCTCAAATATCATCGAAGTGAGTTTTCTCCATTCACTAATGGGAACTTTTATTGTCACTGATACATCCCAGCAATTCGACCATTATCGAGCTCCCGACGAACTCTACAGTAGACCTACCGAGATCGACTTCTGTACTGCAGAGATTCAGTAAGTGTTTATTTCAACAATCTTCACCCTGGCGGCTGTCTATCTTATCTCATCCTACTATTTGCTTTTTTTTAGTTGGCATTTCTTCACGGGTCTGTCGAGAGGCAAGTTGTTCACATCTCTGCCGTTTTCTTCGCGATTCCAAGCAAAAATACGAATGTATTTGTCCATTAGGATACGCCATCAGCAATGAAAAGTAAGTTCTCTATTTTGTATTCAGGTTGAATGCTTATAACTAGTTAGCCTCTGCATACTAGGTTGAACAAAAAGTCTCCAATACGTTGAATGAATTATTTTGAAGAGGAATAACACTTTCCAAGCGCTTTTTTTGGTTGCTGTAGAAGGTTCTCGGGGCACACTGTACGACTACTTGCGAGGTAGGCACTTTCGCAGTCGTAGAAATACGGCACCTTTACCACAGGGATGCGCTCAGAAACAACCTGGGTCCTGCAGCAAATGTATTGGCACGCTGTGGAAGTCAGGCTATACAGAAATGACGCTCCAGTCAATCATGAGAGGACGCAGACACGTAGGGCGTGTTCTTGAAGTCAAGTGCATGGCCGCCCGTAAGGCGTGTTGCGTGTTCGTAGTCTGTTTGCCGCGTATTGAACGGCCAACTATCACAACCGCTCAGCTTCAAATCCGCTCGCATGATGCTAGTAAAGGTTGTAGTGCTCAACAAAGGTGGAGCTGCCCATCTCGGAGATGAACAGGTCGAACTTGCAAGTAATAGTACAGTGCGTCTCCTCAAGCCTCGATAGTAGCCTTGTGAACTACTTATTGAACGTTTGCGAATAGTAAAGCTCTAATTCTCTGCGTCGGTTTGAAAAGTCCTCTGGATCCTGTTTCTAGGATCTACAGGTACTGTATTTGTTGTTCCGAGGTGTCAATGGCCCATCGTTTGACATTGCATAGGTTTGTGGCGCCTTCAGCTTGGGAGGGGGAGGCATTTTACGGATCCGCTTCCATTGGTGCGTCGAGCCTTCAAGTAGAGATCCGTGAAATCTTGTAAGGCCATGAATAGGTACCAGTCAGTGTTAGTAGAAGTCACTAGTCAAATACTTGTGAAGAATACCTGCCTATCGTTTTGATGCAACGAACATGGCAATGGGAAGTAGTGAAAATGCGAACGCCCCCTACCCCGCCCCCGAGCGGAACCGCGCCGAATTCGCTTACATGGAACTACATCCGAAAAATCGATTAAATGCGGTTTCAGCCCTTCGACATGTCTTCCAAATGTACCGTGTGCATCGTGGGAATTTGCATGTGATGACGGGCAATCATGTATTCACTCAGCGAAGAAATGCGATCGTGTACCGGATTGCGCGTAAGTGCTACAGTAATTGTTAGATTATTATAGATTTTAAATGGTTTAGAAAGTCAAAACGAGTCCGATCATTCGCCAAGGATTGTGAGAATAGCTTGGAACGGGTAGGGAACGCTGATCCACTTCTCGAAACACCAAAAAATTGCAGAATATCATCCAGCTGGCTGACAGAGATTGAATCACTACTATGTCTAATGGATTGAATACTGGTGTGAATGGCGTGCGCGTGTCACCATTCCGAACACATCTTTCGTCATCCTCATCCCAATGTCGACGTACTATCTCCTCCGGGTTGGCATTGCTCCCGTCAAGCTAAACAGCTCCCTGAACGGGGAATTTTTCGATATTCATTAATGCGTAGGCTGCTGATTCAAGCACGGTTCTTTACCGAAGCGCTTGTCGACCATGCGGGGCCGCTAAGATCATGCGCCTGCCACCGATAGGGGTTTTGAAGGGATAAGGATTGGAGAGCAAGAGCGACCTCGACACTATGATGCCCTCCTGAGTCCGCAATATTTAATGGGAATGGGTGGCCTAGCTGCGTCATATCAGCGCTCCTTTGCCCGCCTCATCGTTAGTAGGGATCGTGACTGTACACTGTCATTGGGGTCATAGAGGTGTGGAATAGCGCTGTCATTTCACCCATTGCTACGAATTAAAACACAAGCTCCCACCCGGATTTTTACCTTTTGTATTGGGGTGAGGGGTAGACACATCCGACCAGCTATCAGAACTAGTAACTTTGACGGTTTGCCGCCTGAAGGTTACCTGGAGGAAGTCCAGGTGACTTTCAGACGAGTCTGAAAGTCTAAGTCACTTGGAAGGGGGGTATTCAACAGCAGAAAATGCTCTCGACCCCAATCGGTATTTTCTCCCCACCAGTCAAATACGATTCCCTGACAGGATACGTATAATGATGTACAGTCTTATATCCTGCGAAGCAATAGGCGTGGCACTGAGGCAGGGCTTGGTGCGCCGCAGCCCGCTCTCCACCAGTTGTTGAAGTGGGTAAGTGACAACAACTGGTAGAAAGCGAGCGATAAAAACGATATGATACAGTGTTGTCGGTAGAAAGAAAGGAAAAATGGGCTTATGCTGCTCCGAATCTATCACCTTCGATACGCTACATCGTCCGCAGCTGTAGGCTATTCTAGGCATTTCAAGCATGCTAATTCTCAATGAAATTTCAACAAGATTTGCGACAGTTATGAATAACATCTGTTTTAACATTTCCCTTTTCATGCCTTTGAACGCAGAGTAGTTCCATCAATTTGCTTCTAAATTCATTCAGTGATGGAAGTGACGAGTCTCCTTCATTATGCCGGAACGTCAGTCCTGATCGATGGCCATGTGATGACAGTGCGAGTACTATAGATCGCATGCTGGTATGATTAACCCTTGATGCTTTTGTATGTGGAGGTGTTGAGCTTTAGTAACCAGCTAACAGCTAGGTGACTCAAAGGCAATGCTGCTGATAGCTTAGCTCTTAACTGCCTAAATGCCAGTCAGAGATAATCAGTGGTACCAAACAGATTTTTTAGTTATGCAACGGACAAGTGGACTGCGAGGACGGTTCTGATGAGCGGCATTGCCGGTATGTCATTTTTTTCCTCGTTCTCATCGGAGCTCAAAACGGCTCAAAACGATAAGTCTGTTGAAGCGCTAGTGCTCCCTGGAAATTATCGGTGTACACGACCAAGAATACTGCACTCGAAGACGCATACCATAGTTGCAGTTTTTAGGCAGTGTGGTTCAAAAACAAAGATGTTATCACTAGATGGCTTGCAAGTGAGGAAGAGGACAGAAAAAAGGTTTACTTCAACAAGGCGTCTCTTCTTGTACTTGATCATGACCACTATACGGTGGTAAGATGACCTGCAAGGCGGGACAGGCGACCATACGAATAGCGCAGGGGAGAGACTAGGGAACGACGGGTAAAAGAGCGCAACGCTATTACCGCGACCACGCCGCTAATTTGGGATAGCGTGGGTCTCCTTGAGCTAGGCCATAAGCTTGCAGCCCACTTCCTGCGCAGTTTCTAGGCGCGGAAAGGATAGCGCTCGGCAGTAACGCAGCGGCAGTCTTGTTCGCTGTTGTTGAAGTTGCATTCCAAGCAGTATGGGTTTCGCGAGGCGCCAATCCTGTTTGTCACCAGTTATTGAAGCGAACAACTGACAGGACTGTATCATATCATTCGTACCACTCGTTTCTCACCAATTGGTATCGCTTTCCTGCTTTGGCACTGTTGAAGAACAGATCTGGCGCTGCGCCAAATCGATCCGCCTAACACGCTCCTTCATCCGCAGCGAAAACGCTCTAGTAGTTGCGAAGTTGTGTGGAATGCGGCTAAGATCCTCAGATCTAGAACTATACTTGCACGCTCACCGCATCAGCCCTATCCGGAAAAGCCATTAAAATGTCTTCTCAACTTGGTACCTTTCAGGTGTCCCTCACCAGCGTCGGATCTGGACTGCAGCGCTTTCCCGTTGATGATCGGAGGCGAATGTGTGAAGCGTCGGCTAATGTGTGATGGATTCCCAGACTGTGAAAATGGAGCTGATGAGAACCCCAAGGTAGAATGAGTTGGCTGCCATAGTTTTCATATGTCTCACTTTACGCTCTTCAGATGTGTGCAAACTATCCCGATCTCAGTGGCCGATTCCAGTCTTCTCCCGAGTGGTTGTATATACTATTCCTTGGATTCATTGTACTCTTCTGTGCCATGATAATTCTGTTCTGTTGTTTCCGGTAAGTGCGCGGTCAAGTTGTTCAACCCGTATTTCTTTCCTTAAGAAAGCGAATCCCCAAATTGATAAGAAAGCAGGGCAAAATTTCTAAGACCTCATCCTTACCTATGGAGCTTAGTGCTCTACCGTAACATAGCACAAGCAGTGTACTTCAGAGTTCATAACTCACCAGTAGCTTATGCAACTTGGCATATGTTTGACATATGTTTGCAATCCGGCGGGCGGTGTCCGAAGGCGTAGAATGAGCCTAATTACGGTTGGGTTTCTACCAATAGTGACGGGCGGTGCGCTCAACTCACGCCTTTGACAGGTCTCGATTGTAACGATATCAACTGTACACTCGCTAGCGGTGCGTCATGTAGAGGAGTTCCTGCTTGCGTAGGTTTTGGCGCGACGTCAGCTCGTTTCCCCTTTCGTTGCCACTATGAGGCGAGCAGCCATTTATGGAACTAGATTGGCGCCACGCCAAAACGCATGTGCGTAGGGACCCCTTCACCCAACTCTCCAATAAGCACTTCTTGCCCCGTATGGACTGGGTGAAGTAGAAATCATCATATACCCATGCCATTGGGTCCAACATTCTTTTCAGTTACAGGAGACAAAAAACTTACTTTAGTAGTACTGTGCCTACCGTGAAAAAACGCTAATTTTTCGGGGTCTTCTGTCTTTATTTTTATCAGAATCGGAAACTTTTCAAAAAGAGGTCCCACGACAGCACTGGGGCGAAGACAGTTGACGAGGCCATGCGGCACCGCGACTACCACACGGTTTCTGCGTGTCTGCGTCCTCTCATCAAATTTGAAAAGTTGTAGATACCCTCCAGGGGTTCCAAAACATGGGGAGAGACAAATAGGCATGATAGGCAAAATAAGACATGATGGGACATAGTGGCGCCTCATGGCCCTCCTAAATAGTTTTCCTTCAGGGCTATTAGAAAAAACTGAATTGTGTTCAGCTAGGCAATAGTGTCGTGAATTCTACTGCATAGACATGTTTTTACTTCTTACAGTAACTATCCACTTTGTGGCAATGGTCGGCTGGACACGACTTCTTCGATTCATCAGCTACGCGGTTCTGGAGTAGCAGAGGCAAACATTCTGTTACCTCCTCATCCACAAATGGGTACACAAGTCGAGGTGAGTAATCCATGAGCTCGCCTGAATTCGCTCGCTGTCCCCCCTACCTCCCTCCTGGAGCAGTTTCGCAATTGTTGCCGTTTTTCAATTTTCTTGTAGTGTTATTATCTTTGAAATTCAACAGATGGCTTCACTTTTTGTATTCAACAGGTGGCCTTACGGACGTACTCAGTGGTAACGTCAACGAATTCGTCGTATCCAGCTTTACCGCCACCGAATTCGACAAGATCACTGAGCCGCTCTAGTGGTTCACGTAATCGATCAGATGTGAAGGACATTCCGCTGAACCGATTTTACGCTCCACCACCTAGTGCAGCGAGGTGAGATTGCTTCCTCATTAGGTCAACACTGTGACTAAATGGTGGGGAATGTTTGGATGACTGAACATTATCAGTGCGCGAACTGCGGAACGCCTCGCTTATCATCAAAGTGCAAATAGTGAGAGGGATTAGCATGTGACTCGATGGTCAGTGAAGGTCGTAAATGATTAGAGACACACCTCACGGTCACCTGAGAGATGGGTCCTTCCCATGACAAAATGGGCAGGTCTAGAGGCGTAGATGTGTACCTTTTTGTCCAACTGGAGAACCGCTATATTGAAGCTGAAATCATGTGAATGTTTGATGGTTTTACTGCCTCCGCTCACTACTGCATACGCCATAAGGATGTGTGGTGAGCGCTTTTTTGGCGCGCTTTCTCAGAGTGCGGTGGGTTTGGTAGAGGCCCACGAGCCCCCAATGGTCTTTCGAGGTGGTTAGAAAAGGTGGAATCTGATGTCACCTCAAATCTCCAAATATTGTCTCTGTGAGAGAGCGCAGGTAAACGAGGTGCATCTTAGGCGCGTACGAACTTGAAATGCGCGTGAGATGCACCTCGTTTACGTGCGCCTTTACTCTACGCGTTTGGGTGGCGCGAGTGACACATTTCTACGGCTTTGAACCTGCCCTTTTTGTGGGAACGTCCTCTTCTTAGAAAACCGGTACACTGGGTCTTTAAGTCTCTCCACAGTACCCTCGTAGTGTGCCTTTGTGTTTCCAGCAGAAGACATCAGAAGCAGGGGACGTCCTACGTTGGGGAAAATTTTGCAAAATGCTATCATCCCTTGAAATACCCTCTTCCCATTCCTCACCCTTCCCACCATCTTCTTGAAGTTCCCGGATGAGTTCTTACAAACTCTTCCCAACTCTCTACCACTTCCCTGAAATGATTGTCCAGTTTACCCTCAAAGAATTATCGTTCAGCGGAATGGCGTAGGGGGGGGGGAGGGTTAAAGCGCCAGTCAAAGGAAAACGCCAGTAAGAATCAGCCATCATAAATATTTCTCTCACAAGAGAAAGTAAGCTTTTCCCGCCTCGCTCCATCGTCCAAATACGACCCTCTCGCTGGGGATCCCAACGTACGGCGTGGTCTGCTCAAGACATTGGGAACAGTCTTGGGTAATGAAGGCCGCCGCTCAGGGTAAATTCTCTATTTTGAGGAGCTACTCATGCCAGCCATTCATCATCACATTGACATTGATAAGCGAAGCTGTACAGTTCACAAAAGAAGTTCACAAAAGTCCATGTTCCATATTTCCATATGGATTTGGTGCCAATCGGGGGCAGGGCGCAGATGAAACCTTTGACTGGTCTCAGTAGAATTAGCTCCAGAAAGCTCACTCTGGGTTACGCTTGCAGGAAGAAGTGCCACTTGTTATGTCTACCGTGTATCAAAAGTGCGAGCTATGTTGGATCTAACCTTTTCCGGACTGAGCTAGTTTTTTTATAGACTGATGTTTTATCTTCCAAAAAGTACTGCTTTAGCACTTATGTTCTTCAAGCACTCATAGAGAATGATAATGAGTTTACTACTTTGTACTTTTAGCTTATCAACATACGGGGTCGTGAAGCCGGCAGAAGTTCGAATCTCTGCGACTAACAGCAGGCAGAGACCACGAAGGAAGAAACTGTCAAGTCCACCTCCTTCTTATACCCAGGTTCAGTACATTCAGATTTTCAAAAATTATAACATTATGAATTGGCCGGCCCTATATGAAGGTTACCTCACGGCTTATGCAATGGAGAAAAGCAAAAGTCCACAAAGAGACTGTTATTTATAAACAGCGCATACTTGCCCACAGTATCGCCACTGGGGCGCATCATCGCTGTGGAGTACTCGACAGTGTCGTATTTGGCCCGGCAGATTCAAGATTATTGCCTGATAGCCGAAATTTCCCTGTTATTGGGGCGCTGCATTTGCCACTTCAAAAATGTCCAGTTGAGGGCGCTTGGCATTGAGCGAACATTTTTGGACGAGTTTCCCATTGGCATCGTGCCAACAACCGCTTTGATAGATACGGCTGCACGTATGTATTCATATGTCCATGTAGCAACGCTTCATATCAGTTGTACTTCATAAATGAAGCGATAAGAGTACCAGCGTTGATGTGACTGCGCGGCCATTTGTGGGCGGGCGGTTGCGGTGGGCGTCGGGGTAAGCAGAACGGTGCCCTTGGTTGGAAAATGCGCCACGCGGCGCCTGCTAAGGGGCACATTCTTCTTTTGTGCCAGACGTATCGACCCTTTATGCCTTGTCAATTTATCGCGCCCCTTGCCTTTATTGCAGTTACTTTGCATAAAACTACTTTGTTTCAGTTAGAAGATCCCATAATGTCGACGTCAGGTCTGATGAGTTGTCGTCCACAGATGAGTTCAACTCCAAAATCACATCAGGGTTCAACTCCACAATCGTCAAGACGTATGGTTGTAACACCTCGAGGCACTCCGTCACGGCTATCGAGCGCCGAATATTTGGACCCTCCTCATCGAGCACCATCCTCAAGCTCACTCTCTAGTCATTCCAGCGATGATGCCCTCATGATATGACTTAGGAATTCGATGATCTCTACTCATAAAAACCTTACGGGTGGTATAACTCTCAGGTTTTTAGTTATTCTGAAAGAGAACGAAACTTTTCTAATCTTTGTTGGAGAAGACATTGGAGACACATTGGTTTTTCTTGCTCAACGGAATAATTGTCTGCAATCCAGCAATTATAATTTCTAGATATTTATTGCATTATTTACGCAAGTGTTCCTATATCTATTTTTATGAGTCAGTGGTACTTTCTAACTAAATTACAAGGCATTTTTCATTCGAATATCCTCTCAGCTTGTCTTTTTTACGGTGCTTGCCTCACTTTGTTTTATATGACTCACTTCATATATCTGCCACAGCTTTATGTGATATCGATAAGTACCGGTGAATTATTTCAATGTTATTTGACTATTTCATTATCTTAAATTATTTCAAGTTATTTGTGTGTATCGTGGCCATGACAGAAATCGATTCTCAACTAGTGTGATTTCACTTGATATAAATTTGCTGCTCATGATTGTGAAAGGTGTAGTTTCAATGGAAATCGATATTTCTTAAGTGAGGGATAACTAGAGAAAGGTATGGGGAAGGTGTGGCTGCGGTTTTCATTTGGATGTGGCTGTGGCTGCACCTCTGGTGCGATATTTGATTAGTTGTAATCATGTCTTTATCCACCAAAAGACAGTATTACGGTCTTCTGTGCTCTGAGCCTGACACTCAAGTCTACACTTGCTCAAAAGGCACACCAAAGTTCATGCCGTACAGCTAGATGGGTTCTTCAGCACCGGTATTGCTCGGGCGTTGGCTAACGACTGCTATGACTAGTAGATGTTTCGGATTAACCCACTAGAGAACCTACATACGATACGATCTCAGCTCAAAGTTGAGCATGCATTCTACGTTGCGGCAGCCTACATTTTTCAAGAACGTCATTCATAAGGTGACCAAACACGGATAAGGATACCGCAATAACAATTTTGTATATATTTGAAGTCCCCTACAAAAGAATGTTGAGCTTTGAAAAATGTGACAGAACCATTACGCCAACTTAATAGTGTATTAGGAGATGAGGGGTATGGGACAAGAGGATCGTAATTTGCCGCGCTGCTGGGCGTCGCGTGCGACGTCCCGCCCGCAAAGGACGATGGTTTCAGGCAGTAGATGGCGACAACATGCAATTAAGGACCGAAAACAGTAATGAGTGTCTACGATGACGGGGTCTACATGAAGTCCGGTGCTTCATTCGACAGGTTAAAACGAGTTATGAAAACGCCGCGCCCATCGCCGCGCGTGGCGGTGCGGCGAATTACGATCCTCTTTACCGTCTCCCGGAGATGAGCTGGGCCAAAGGTAGTGCAGTAAGCGCGCCATTAAAGGTGATGCGCTTATTAGACCGTTTTTCTGAAAATCAGGGCTAATGAGCATCCATGTTGGACCTTCCGTGATCGTGTACGTCTTCCCTGACGTACCGCTGCGGCCACAACTAAGAACTTGTTGAACTTACATTTCGGCCTTGAGGCGGAGGTGGTGTAGCAGCAAGTGGCACGGTTACTACGTGCATGGTCCGGGGACCAGATCTTGGATCTGCTCGCTCAGGCCAACCAAGCCTTCTTTCTCCCGGGTATCCAGTAAATTGGTACCAGATTCGTCTGGGAGGATGGGAACACTGACTTGTACATCGGCTGGCCCCCGCAAGTCATTGTATAGGCCACATCGCATTCAATAAGCCACTACGATTCTGAATGGAAGTAGAATGCGTGCCGCATCCCAAAAAAGGGATTGACCAGCGGCGAAGAATATCCTTTATCCTTCGAGATTTCGGCCTCATCGTCTCCTGGCTTAGAATGCCAGGAGACGATAAGGCCGAAATTCCAGGCTTAGAATGTACGGTGGGTTTTGAATTCAGATTTTAGATCATCGTGGAACATCGGGAATTAATTTCGAACTAAACGCTTTTTTCATCTCAATTTCAGTTCCTTGCCTATTCGTTCTGCAAATCTCACATGCTATCGAATTAGTTTGTAATGGAGTAATAGGCCGCTGTACTGTCTCGTTGCGGTCACTCGCTGTACTATCGTCTCGTCTCGTTGCGGTCAGATCAAATACCAGGGTCACACGGGTGGACGTCCTTCATCGCGCCTTAACGAGAAAACAACCTTTCAAAGTTGCACAACGAAATTTCCAGTCTCGATTCCTTCGATTAGTTTAACTCTAAGCCCCTTTGCTCCTTCGCCGATTTTCTCACGTTTTTGGTCGGATTAACAGGTTTTTTCTTCATTTTTTATTGCATGTACCCTGTGGATGCTTGCTTCACTTGTGTTGCTTTTTGGATACACGGCGCAGCCTACGATATAAATCAACAAACAAATAAATAGATAATTTCTTTGATTGTGCTGGCACGGTTTCACTATGCCCGTTGTCCGTAGTTCACTATCACGGCAGTCCACCGACAAACGGCGTTGACCTGTT